CAGAGCGCAGGCGGCTGGCGCGACCAGCACTCAACACGCGTACCCATCACACACGTCGCTAGGTAGGCTCCCGCCTGAGAGCGCCATGAAAGCCACATTAAGAAGGAGCCCTTGAGCCTGACTCTCAGCCCACAGTAAGCCACTCTACACGAAAAAGCACACATTGGACTTTCCGCGCGATCCGAGTTGTCCCGGCAGTTGGCAACCCTCCAAGCTACGGCTTTTAGCCCATCGTGATAGCTTCAAGCGCACCAGGTTGATTTAAGTGAGGAAATAAATGCGCTGAGGGTCGACCTCACTCTCTCCCCCACAGCCAGCAACAGGCCACTGCCTAGCAGATTGGTCGCCTGAGGTGGGATCAGGAGTTAGTACAGCTATTATAACTCACGCAAGAATATGGCATCTAGAAAATAGTAAAGCACACAGTAAATGCCTTTTGAGGGTACAAACGATAAGAAAATCGGTGCTAAAGAAGCGAATATGCGAGTTAAGAAGAAGAAAAACATGCGATCATTGGAACAAAAGTTTTAATTTCCTGGCGTTTTGGCTTCTTTCGAGAATCCTTAATCACAATCATGTGTCAAACCCTTTCGTGGTTACCTATGAGTAAGAATTCTCGACAGAATCTGAAACACCGGGAACTTAAAATTCTTGTTCCAGTGATTCATTTGTTTCTTTTTCCTTTAAATGTGGGAATATTTTGAATTTAGCATTGTTCAATTTTTATAAGGGAAGCGTAGAGTAACTACTAGATTCAAAACATCGTAAACGTTTGTTCTGCGGAAATGTATGTTCAAACTAAGAGAAAAGCAAATGAAAAGTTGTGATTATCTAAGCCTTTAAAGGGTTCTAGATGTAGCAGAGATAAATATTTAAAAAAGTCTTCCAAAAGTTAATTAAGAATGCTTAACTGACGAGTATGCACATCGCTAACTTGTTCAACTTAACACTTTCAAATACTTTAGGCATGACGTAATAACTTATAAGACCGGAAAGCATAAGATAACAAACTTGGGGAATTTTAAAGTCGACCGCAATCCCCGCACAAGAAGGCAATTAACGTTAATTGTCGCTGTATGCTTGCA